ACCCATTTTAGTGTATATATATATATAGTTAGTAGTGCTGCTAGGCCCTGAACTATCTCTGCTCCTCGCGACTTACGCGCCGGGCGATCGGTGGACCATACCTTCGTCAATAGTAGGTCGGGCGGACGCGCGTATTCGATTATATTTAAATGTTAATATTTCGTTAACTATTGTGCAAACTGCAAAATGGTAGAAGACTTTTCAATTCAGTTTAGTCCGCTCTACCTGCTCAGAATGGGTGGATCGAAATTTGATATCACCCTGTATACCTAAAAAAATTGTGAAGACAAGAATAATTTTGTAATATATCAAAACTGATTTTTTTCTATTAACATTTTAATAGTATAGATTAGGAAATAAAGTTGCATGAACAATCTTGCTTTACCCGTAAGTAGAGTTGTATAATATTTAGCATTGTAGCCATATTTTTTTATGATAGCTATTTCTTTTTCATCCTCTAATTCATCATATATACGTTGAAGCTGCATTAGTAAATTTTTTACCTGTTGTTTCAACAACATTCTTATATTTATCTTTGCATACAACAAAACATATTTTGATATATATTTTGATGCCTTATCGATAAATAAATATTTATTTTGTCGATTAGGGTATTCTATTTTACGAATTTATTATATGTATATTCGAAACTTACACTTTTGATGTTAATGCAGAACGAATTGTAGTTTATCAAGTAAACAGCAAAGAAAGAAGCGGAAGACACAACCTTGGCGACGAGATCAAAAGTACATCTTAAAGTTATAAATGATGTCAGCTGCAAATAGTTATTTTATTTAAATTTTATTTATGTTAGTAAATATATGTTAGTAAACGAGACTTTAAATAATTATTATACAATATATTTTTAATGTAAAAATTAGACTGCACGTAATACATATATGAGATTAATTGGTTAAAAATAGAACACAACGCCATTATACTATTTTCTTACCTGAAATATAATACTTGCTGTCAAAATACTAGAAAGAAAAACAAACTGAAATCGAGTGAAGATAGATTGTTGATAGGGCCACAAACCAATAGCTAGTAATAGAATTTTATTAAGATTGAAATACTGAATTTCCAAACGGATCATTTCTCTACGTGCTTCAGAACATTACTGACAAAATGTCGATGAGGATATATTCATCCCCACCTTTTTCTACTAGTCGATTAAATATTTCATAACATCTTTCTTTCACATAAATTTCAATGCAAATTTCTTAATTGACTATAATAATGCCCAGACGTGCTGTGAGATCGAAATTGGATTCAGTAAATTTCTGAACGATCCGCGTACCATTATTCTTTATAACATAATTTATACGCGATCGATTTGTTGCTGAAGATAATATGACGGATGTGTCTTTCTCATGAAATTAAACTATAGAAAAGCTTCACAAAAATTACGCAGGCGCATTTCCTTCTTTTCAGTTTCGAAATTTCATTCTAATATGCGCATTCATAAGTTAGTCTTCAAGAGAAATATCTCTTAGTGTTAATTCTTTTCATGTCGGATCTCTGTCAGATAAAGCTTATAATTTAAAAATAATTACATCAAATTGATGACAGGTATATACTGTTAAATATCAATTAGCGATCAGCGTGATCGATATTTTTAACAATTTGATATATTAATTATCTAGTTAAAAATATTATTTATTAGTTACCAGTGTTGTACAGTATCTAGGTACTGTAATTAAGTACAAATTTACGTATTTAGGAACTGTATCGAGGTACTTTTTTTTCTGATATCGATACTTATACTTAAATATCATTTCTTGTGTACCAATACCTATATTTAGATACATTTTAATTTTGGATAATACTTATCTGCATTAAGAGAGCTTTATAATTATATTAAAAAAGTTTTTTATTACGTTTTAAAATCATCATACTTAAAAAATCAATCTCGATATTAACATCGATATTTTTAAGTCAATTTATTACATCAAGTTGTACAGAGTGTTACATATATTATCGTTACTTTGATTTCTATTTCACTTTATTCAACTTTATTTGATTTGACATTAAAAACCGTTACCTAAATTGTTCTAATGACCTAAAAAATTAAGGTCGAAAAGTTTAGTAGATTTTCTTTTTATGTTATTATTTTAATAAATTTACATACACACTTAGATATTGTGTTGGCTCTTTGTAGGCACTTTACATCATGAATTTATTTATTTGATCATGTATTCCATTGTATTGTTTTTTAATGAGTAAATGTTAATAAATGAATTATTTGAATAAGTCCATGGCTTTATAAATGTTACTTTTTTTTATTTCATATATCATACTTGTATAGAATATTCAGGTACAATATATATACATATAAAATATATATATATTTATATAT